CGCGTCTCAAATTTGCTGCCATTGGGGGAAGCTTTTGCAAGTGACTTTGCATGGATGTGTCACGTGTCAGTTTGCGCCGCTATTCCATTGTGATTTGCATGACACCGACATGTCGCGCAAGAAACGTGATACATTTCGCTGCACAGGCGCAGCGTTTTGTGAGATCCGCAGTTTGTTGCGCAGTGCCATTGGGATTAGCGTTTGGAGAGTCGTGTTTTTGGGGTGTTGGATGTGGCCGTGGCATTGGGATTTGCGTTTCAGGGTGTGGCATCGAAGCTCTGTTTTCGTGACAAGTCTCAGCTGAAATGGCGATTTTGGTGGATGGGAGTGTGCTCTGAACGGGTCGAAATCATTCCAAACGTGTGGTGTGGTGCAAATTTTGTTGAAGCTCACACGCGACGATATTGTCACTTTTCGTGGCAGGCGCAGGACTTCGTGCGGGTTTTGAGGCGTGGAAGTGCGATTCTCGTGGCAGGCGCAGGGAATCGTCAGGTTGCGAGGTGTGAGGGAGGAGACATTTCGTGGCAGGCGCAGTACTTTGTGCGCGTTAGACGTGTGAATGGGGAAAGATTCGTGGCAGGCGCAGGGAATCGTGAGGTTGTGAGTTGTGGTGGAGGTGAATGTCGCTGTCACATTGGGATTGGCGTGTGAGCGGATGTTGTTTGGAGGGGCTGGAATCGCGAAACTGCTTGGCAGGGCTGCGTGATGTGTGTGCTCCGATGGGTGTTTCCGCTTGACTTTTGGAGGAAGTCTCGTACGAAACGCTCGTTTTGCAGACTTTGACGTGTGAGTTTTTGAGGAAGTCTCGTACGAAACGCTCGTTTTGGAGACTTGACGCGCAACCCTCTGCGGAGATCGTGCGTGTCGAGTGTGCGAAATGCAGGCGAGAGTGCGATTTGACCCATGCACGCGCAACCCTCTGCGGAGATCGTGCGTGTCGAGCGCGCGAAATGCAGGCGAGAGTGCGATTTGTCCCATGCGCGCGCGACCCTCTGCGGAGATCGCGCGTGTCAAGTGCGCGAAATGCAGGCGAGCACTGGCGACTTTGTAGTACATACAACTTCAGTACGTGGGGTATCTGGGGAGCTGGAAGATGAGAACTGGTGACTTGGTAGTACAACTTTAGTACGCGGAGCAATCTGTGGAGCTGGAAGCTGAGAACTGGCGACTTTGTAGTACAACTTCAGTACGCGGGGTATCTGGGGAGCTGGGAGATGAGAACTGGTGACTTGGTAGTACAACTTTAGTACGCGGAGCTGGAAGCTGAGAACTGGCGACTTTGTAGTACAACTTTAGTACGCGGAGCAATCTGTGGAGCTGGAAGCTGAGAACTGGCGATTTTGTAGTACAACTTGAGTACGCGGAGCAATCTGTGGAGCTGGAAGCTGAGAACTGGCGACCTTGTAGTACAACTGTAGTGCGCGGAGTATCTGGGGAGCTGGAAGCTGAGAACTGGCGACCTTGTAGTACAACTTTAGCACGCGGAGTATCTGGGGAGCTGGAAGAGAGTCCCACAAGAGCGTCCCCCAACAGTGTCCCGCCAGAGTGTCTCACAAGAGTGCCCCTGAAGAGTGTCCTACAGGAGTATCCCACAAGAGTGTCCCTTAAGAGTGTCCTACAGGAGTATCCCGCAAGAGTGTCCTACAAGAGTGTCCCACAAGAGTGTCCCACAAGACTGTCCCACAAGAGTATCCTACAAGAGTGTCCCACAAGAGAGTCCCACAAGAGTGTCCCACAGAGTGTCCCACAAGAGTGTCCCACAAGAGTTTCCTACAAGAGTGACCCACAAGAGTGTCCTACAAGAGTGTCCTACAAGAGTGTCCCACAAGAGTGTCCCACAAGAGTGTCCTATAAGAGTGTCCCACAAGAGTTTCCTACACAAGTGTCACACAAGAGTGTCCCACAAGAGTGTCCCACAAGAGTGTCCTACAAGAATGTCCCACAAGAGTGTCCCACAAGAGTGTCCCACAAGAGTGTCCCACAAGAGTGTCCGACAAGACTGTCCCACAAGAGTGTTCTACAAGAGTGTCCCACAAGAGTGTCCCACAAGAGTGTCCCACAAGAGTGTCCTATAAGAGTGTCCCACAAGAGTGTCCCACAAGAGTCTCCTACAAGAGTGTCCCACAGGAGTTTCCTACAAGAGTGACCCACAAGAGTGTCCTACAAGAGTGTCCCAGAAGAGTGTCCGACAAGAGTGTCCTACAAGAGTGCCCCACAAGAGTGACCCACAAGAGTGTCCTACAAGAGTGTCCTACAATACAAGAGTGTCCCACAACAGTGTCCCACTAGAGTGTCTCACAAGAGTGTCCCTTAAGAGTGTCCTACACGAGTGTCCCACAAGAGTGTCCCACAAGAGTGTCCCACAAGAGTGTCCCACAAGAGTGTCCTACAAGAGTGTCCCACAAGAGTGTCCCACAAGAGTGTCCCACAAGAGTGGCCTAGAAGAGTGTCCTACAAGAGTGTCCCAGAAGAGTGTCCCACAAGAGTGTCCTACAAGAGTGCCCCACAAGAGTGACCCACAAGAGTGTCCTACAAGAGTGTCCTACAAGAGTGTCCCAGAAGAGTGTCCCACAAGAGTGTCCTACAAGAGTGTCCCACAAGAGTGTCCTACAAGACTGTCCTACAAGAGGAGTGTCCCACAAGAGTGTCCCACAAGAGTGTCCTATAAGAGTGTCCCACAAGAGTGTCCCACAAGAGTGTCCTGCAAGTGACCCACACAAGTGTTCTACAAGAGTGTCCCACAAGAGTGTCCTACAAGAGTGTCCCACAAGAGTGTCCCACAAGAGTGTCCTACAAGAGTGGCCCACAAGAGTGTCCCACAAGAGTGTCCCACAGAGTGTCCCACAAGAGTGTCCTACAAGAATGTCCTACAAGAGTGGTGTCCCACAAGAGTTTCCGACAAGAGTGTCCTACAAGAGTGTCCTACAAGAGTGTCCCACAAGAGTGTCCTACAAGAGTGTCGTGTAAGAGTGTCCCACAAGAGTGTCCGGCAAGTGACCCACAAGAGTGTCCCGCAAGAGTGTCCTGCAAGTGACCCACACAAGTGTTCTACAAGAGTGTCCCACAAGAGTGTCCCACAAGAGTGTCCTACAAGAGTGTCCCACAAGAGTTTCCTATAAGAGTGACGCACAAGAGTGTGCTACAGGAGTGTCCTACAGGGTGTCCCGCAAGAGTGTCCTACAAGAGTGTCATTTGGACATATTAGTTTTTCGAACGTGTTTGCATTCGGGTTCGTGGGGTCCATCTTGTTTTTTTCCAGTCTTGTTTTCTCTTCGCATGCATCCAGTACCGGGATCCACCCGCAGTTTCGCTGGCCAGGCAGGAGGGGAAGTTCTTGCGGTTCCTGGTCTATGCGGAGAATGCCATTGGCCTCTCTCAGGCCGGAAGCGCTAAGCGCTTCATGACTTACAAGTAAAATCAAGCAGAACATACTGATGTCACTTGGTATCATAAGCAAGTTCGTAGAGAAAACACATGAAAACATTGTTAGCACGCCTTGAGACAAGTCATGAAACTGCAGCCTATATACCATGCTGTGACACCAGGCAAGCCCTGTGTATCGCACACAAGTCTGTGCCTTGTCGGGTCCCTAAGAGGAAGGAACGGTGACGCCCGGTTTGTGGTAGGCCGTACACTGCACTGAGTGCAAGAATGAACTCCTGTAGTAGCTGTTAGCAGCTGCTTAGCTTTACATTCTTGCAGGTATAGTTAAAGGAAGAGATGAAACATGTAATAGGAGTTCGAAGGTTAGTTAACCCAAGAAGACTAGAAACCATTTCATCCAGCGGGGGTAGATATACCTCGTTGATGAGAGGCACCGGCTAGTGTCCTGACCACTACCTGAGGCATTTTTGAAGCATGTTTGTGTCCAACTCGGAATATTTGACCACCAATTAAGTGTCGTTGAACGATATGATGAGTAGAAATGAATATAATCCAATTAATGTAATGCGTTTAGACTAGTTGCCGTATCGTTTTACTATAAGATGAATATGCTGTAGTTTTTAATTTCAAGAAACAGTTATGCTATAAACATACGTCGTGAACGAGAAAAAACACGACCACGAGGCCGGACCCGGTGAGCACCTTCGTGGCCTCGGAGCACACCGACTACTCGGTGAAGCTGACGTGGACGCCGCCCGCGTCCACAGGCGGAGCGGAGCGAATTGTGTGGTTGCGATGGAGCGCAATCGCAGGTCGTAGGTTGAGCGCAGGTCGGAGGTCGGCAACAAGAAGCTACGAACGCAGGTTGATTTGTGGTTTCATGTTGGCGAAGTAAGTAGGAAGTAGGACTGACATTTGTCTAGGAAGTGTTCGTAGGAAGCCTTGGGAAGTTGAGAATCGCTTCCCCCCCCGGAATGAAAGGTTCACTCGAAGAGCTCACAGACGCTCGCAGGCTGTGTAGGCGCCCTTATTACAGGCTACAAGGCAGGGAACATGCTGTGCAGTGTGGAGTTCTTTTCAATCCTCAGCCAGAGTTCAGAGTGTTCAATTATTATGAGCTTGTGTGTGTGTCTCTCTCTCTCTCTTTTTGTCTCGAATTGTTGGAACTGTATGAAGGTCTGGTAATGACTGGCCATCGGCGTTCTTTTGTATCACTCATGCCACTAACTGCGGAATGCCTGTCATAGCTGAAAGGTCTACATGCAGCAGGGTGTGAATCCATATTCGCTGGTGCATGATGCAGGGCCTTCGGCAGCGATCTTGGATCTATAAGGACGCTACTAGGGGCTCCTGGCCTTACTACTAGGAACAAGGACGCTAGGGCATTACTACTAGGAGCAAGGACGTTGCTAGTAACAAATGGCATCGCTACTACTAACAAGGGCATCGCTATTAGTAAAGTTAAAGCACACAGTTTTGACTTGAACAGAGACAAGACATGAGACTCATGCACAGTCGCCAGATGGGACATCAAGAACTAGATTAAGAGCAGGGCCTTCGCTGAGGTGCTCTACCACGTGCAACAGGGCTTAAGTGCCGGCACGACTTACAGCTTCATGGCTCTCAACTCAGTTTAGTTTCATATTCAATCGTTATTATTTGGTCGCAGTCTTTGAGACAATTTACTACTTATACTGTAATTAATGCACATTGTACCTGCCGCGCATTGCTGCAGTTGTCAGAGCTTTTATTTCCTTTGTGAGGTCTATGTGTGTGCTGCTGACAATTGCGACGCACCATGCTTAGTCACTTCTCGAAGTCGAACCACCGCCACTCGACACGTTCTCACTGTTCTCGTCGTCACGTTCTCGTCGTTTCGTGACGACTTGAGGTTGGATATCCCACTGATGGCCTTCAAGTCACTGCAGCATCCTCAGAGCTTCAGAGCCGTGAAACGGATCGACGTCAGACGTGAAACGGATCTGAAAAAACCCCGCCCGGCCCTTGAATTAAGTACCAGTAGGCGCCTACTTAATTAAGTGATGTGCTTCCTAGATTTTTCGGGAAACTTGGAGTATACTGAGAGGATTTCCATCATCATTTCACAATAGCTTTGCTATTGGCTTTGCTCTATGCATCGCCAATAGAACCGATCTTGAAACATGTCGCACGTGCCGCATTTGCCAGGCTGGATACACACCTTCCTTTGGCGCAAATCCTTTGACCTTAGTGCAAGCGCTACAGAACAGTATCGAGGCAGGAGCTGCATGTAGGTTGGAGCCCATCGCTGGAGGCCATCACTATTGGGTCGGTGTTAGGTTGTAAAAGAACCCGGTCGTCACGGTCCGCCACTCGCGCATCCGCGCGCATCCGCACAGCTTTCATGGACGGCACCTAGTGGCCTGGCCATCACCGAGCCGCGGTCCTAGTGGCAATGGCCTCCAAGCTACTAGCGATGGCCTCCGACCTACAAGCAAACAAGAATGCATAATTCCTGTTGTGCATGGTAATTGTTCACAATTCTAGAAATATCATAAAATATATATTTACCAAAAATGTGTAATAATGGCATGTCTTGGGATAGACATTTGAAAGATATGTAATTAACTAATTATTCTTCACTTTCTGAGCCATTGACACTTTCCCATACTTTCTCCCTCATCAAGATTGTTTACAAATGCCATTCTCAAAAACTTTAAAGACCTCATGCATTAGCAGGGCTTTACTATGCTTTACTGCTTACCTTGTTTCACTCTGTTTCACCAACAATAATTATGTTATGTTTTAAACATACTCAGATTGTAGACGTGTAGACATGACAGCTTCATTCGCATGAACTGATGGCAGACCGGACTGATTGAGGTATCAACTGTACTTTGACAATGGCGCTGGGACCGGTGGCAGTTTGGTCAACGCCATCTACGTGGGGCCGCCGAGTTGGTCCGGTCGGATGGAATCGGAAGAGCAACGTCCCAAGAAGAGTCATAAACGAAACAGAAGCTAACAAATTAAACAGAAGCTAAGTCGGAGTCATGAATCATACTGTCATCAATACTGTCTTAGACAGACTGTCGATATTTTTCAGTCTCATTTCTGTTAGGAAGACATAGGAAGACCACGTGTTTGACCACCGATAGTGATCGCCGCTGCGAGGCCGGCACTGCATTGAGCCACCGAGAGGATACGTTGAACACGGGCTCCACGTATCGCTTCCAGGCGAACCGCGAAGACGGGCGAGCGAGCGAAGGGCGGGCGGACCCCGCGGGTTCAGCGGAGCGCGAAGCAGAAGGTCGTTGTGGCCAAAAAAGGCTACTAGTAACAAGTGCCACGCTAGTAGTAACAGGTGCCTTACTAGTAGTTACAAGAAGCTACTAGGAACAAGTGCCTTACTACTAGTAACAAAAAGAATTTAATTCGAAAGGAAGAACCAAACGAGGAAAGGAACAGGACCATTTAAAACGACATGGAGAGTCCCAACCGTTGCCACTGCAAGCGGTTGGAATCGCCAGATCCGAGCAAGCAATGCGAATGGCTGCCGCCTCGGCGCAGGAATGAGGATGCATCCAACATTTGTTTTTTGTTGCTGTGATCAGCCTTGATGAGCATTCTTTGGCTCCTGCTTCACATGGAGATCCCACACATGATTTGTTGGCCTCTTATCTTGAACTCTCTTCCTTTTTCTTTGGTTCTTTTTTTGTTGACCTTTCACTTTCACACTTTCACTCTTATGTTGCTGACCCGTTCCTTTTCTCTTTGGGCCGCACAACTAAACCGAGGTTTCGGTGCCTTCAGTGGCATCTCTTCCTTCGTGGCCTCTGAAGCACCTGGTGTACCGCAGAACTTCCGGCCAAGACCTCAGAGAACCGAAGGAAGCAGGGACCCGCAGGGAACGGGAACTGCTCATCTCCGCTTGGAAATGGATCCAGAACTGCTCATCTCGGGCTTCACTCTCCTTTTTCATCAAAGAGGTGATAAACACATATAAGCACAAGGTGTTTTGAAATGATTTCAAGAAGTCAAGAAGATTGCAGAATAAATTGGAAGGAATGGTGCTGATACTTTTCCCTTTCAAAACGACCCTAAAATCAAGCTAGAGCACATGCCCACGTGTGGCACTGCCATTGCCCTGCTGATCCGTAGCTGGACTGCAGCTTGACTGCGAGGTATGTGTCCTCCTCGACTTACACCTTGCAGGCACGCACTTCCACCTGTAATGTAAAGTCAAATAGTTTCGAGCATTCTGACACAAGAATATACAACAAAAAAAAAACATATGGTATTCATATTCTGGAATGATTGGCATTTTCTGATCAATCCGCTGTGCAAGAGACTGGTGGAGCCTGTCTCCACTTGTTGCCAGATGTGCCGTCAGGTTGGTTGGGATACCCCACCTACCGTGCACGCGAATGAGGCAAGCATTGTACGATATGAGGCCGGGAACTGTCAGATCTGCATGGCCAGCATGGTATGACTGGGTGGGTCCGAACAACGGAGCACGGCACACCACTCAGCCGAGGGGGGGTCCGCCGGTTCGACCGTCCTTCGATCCTTGGAAGTGGGTCATACCTGATGATTTCGGACTCTGAGAAGAGAACCGCTCGGTCAAATGTACCGCTCGTCGGTGGCTTATTTCGCAGAGGCTTAGTTCGTCGGAACTTAAGGGTTTTCAGAACTTTAAGCAGTGGACCACATTTGCGTGATGGAAATAAGGCTTTTGGGGAGCTGGACATCAATTTCCGTTTGGAAATACTTAAAACTTTACAATTTACGGGTATCCTACAGGAAAGGATCCATCCAGGTGAGTCAAACGTGGTCTGCCACTAAATGTTCTGGATTGAGTGAGCAGTAAAAGCCAGATCCTTCGAGGCCATATGTTTGCTCTGGACGGAGGGACTCACTCCAATACTTTTAAGATAGAATTTCAATTTGTAAAGGTCTTCCAAGACTTCCATGCAAACTTCCCTGGATTACTACGTATCAAATATATTTAAATCAGGGGAGTCTGAGTCCTATCTAAGTCGGGCTTAAAGTGGAGTTCCGACGAACTCCGACGAACTTGGCCTTAAAACTCTTAAATTTCTTGTGTTTTTCAAGTTTTTGCTCGTGATAATTGGCTGTTGGTGTGGCCAAAACCACCTGAAAATAGCTCTGAACAAGCAAGTTTGGTGTATTTTCTAATGAAAATTGCACTTGCGCCTCTGAATTTTCACGTGAAGAAATTAGCTGAAAACAGCCCCAAGCTGCCCTCCGACGAACTCCGACGAATTAAGCTGGAATCAAAATATTTAAGCTGAAGTCAAAATGTATAGGCCCTGGAGGCTACAAATAGCAGTGTGCTTGCTGTTCTGAAATCATTCTAGGTGTTTGCGCTCTCCAATTGGCCAATTCAATAGCCATCAAATCCTTACTACCAGGTACAATGAGAATTTCACTTGGGAAGTGGACATATTCCCAAATACAATGGAACAGGTTGCCCAGTGGGCCTATCCACAGCACTAAATGCGGCCGATAGGGAGGGGTAGACAGAGGAACGGATATATTTTCACATGTTAAGATCTTTCAAAAATATTTAATGATTTGAACCCATTTGAAGCTGATCAGTTGTTGGAACACCTTGATTGATGCTATGAAAGCTGGGTTGGACCTTAACTTCTTGAAAAAGCTTAACTCCCGACCAACCCGTAGGTCTGCGAAATAGCCCACTCGTCGGTTTCTTTTTCTTCAAAAGAGAGAAAAAAGGAACAGGGACACAAAGACTCGAGGCGAAATGACGTGATGCTGAACGAAAAGAAAAACAGGGAGATGCCTCAGACGCTGCGGAGACGCATGGTTCAGGTGCAATGGAATGATCAGACGCTCATCACAAGTGTTCAGACCATTGCCACATCACCGGCATTCAAAGTGGTGCGGATGCCCAGTGACACTAGGGGTGAGTGTTGCAACTGCCAACTGCAACGTTGCATGGCGATACATGACTGCAAGTATGACTGCATGAAGAACAGAATTGCAGGCCAGCCCTACTGTGCCGTTGACTGCGGGCAACACTTATCGCTTCCAGGCAAGATGTGACGCAAATTCAATTGTAGGAGCAAGAAGCTACTAGTAGCTCCTGGCACTACTACTAGCTAGGACATCGCTACTAGGAGCAAGAAGCTACTAGTAACAAGGGCATTACTGGGATTTTTGCAGAGCTGTACCTTGCGTCCTTCTTCTGCATGACAGCCTGTCAGATTACCAAATATACTGAACGAATCAAGTGCTATCTGCCAGACAGTGGCATTGCTGTAGGTACCACTTTGCGTATCAGGTCACTGCTAGATGTCCGTCAAGTGAAGTTTTCTTCAATGGTTTCTTCGGCCCTCACACCTTTAAGAACAATAAAGAATCCTTTAAAGAACATCCATTAACAGGATTCAACCCTCCAAAGGGCCGCGACAGGTACGAGCTTGCAACATCAATGAGTGCGGCAGCTGGACTTCACAGTCGGAAGCCCAACTTGGTCCCTTTCCGACAGCTTGGGTTGACTGGAGTACCCAAGAATCCAAAGCACGCCCAGACATTAGATGAATACCTTTCACTTGAATTTCGATGAATGCCTTTTGCCTCGCACTTTGAAGAAAAGATAAGTTTCGTAGGGCCTCCAACCTACTAGCAACTTTGAAGATATTATAGGCTTTACTTGTGGTTCAGAAGCACACTGACTTGGGCCAAATGCAAGGCTTGACCTGGTGTGTGGTTCATTGCCACAGGCAGGAATGGTCAGACACGGTCAGATTGTTTGTATGAACGCCAAGTAAATAAAGCGTACTGTAAAGATCTGAAAAGGGCTTTTTGGGCTTAAATACCATACAATACGACACGATATGACTATACAGCATGCTTTTTGTTTCCTGTTCGCCTCCAATCCACGGAACGCGATGGCCAGTTCTGTCGACGTCGACGAGCCGAACCGAGCCGAACGACGTGAGGCGCCGTCAGCGCCATATGTAATCTCCTCGTCCTTGACGGACATCGTTCTCGGATGGGACTATGTGGGCAAGGAGCAATTGGTTTCGGGAAGCAACACAGAGATGAAGACTAGTTGAAGCAACTAGTTGAAGCAACACACATTGAACCAACATGACGACTAGTTAAGCAAGTTAAGCTAATGCTTTACCCAAAGTTTCTTCGAAAGATTTGCTTTCGAACATGGGGCTCATTTGTCAGGACAATGGCGGTGTTCCATTGACTCAGAAGCGAGCTTAGCTTGAGGGGAGCCAATCAGGGGGGACAAGGCGCCTACTTGGATGACACGTTGTGTCACATGACGCATTCACTGAGGTACTTTCGAATGCCCTTAAGACAGCATGTGCTGTCTTGGACGTAGCTACCTCTTATCTACTCGGACCTTTTAAGAAGCTATAAGAAATGGAAAAAAAACACACACACAAGAAAGAAGCAAAAGGTCTAATGGTGGAAAGGCCAAAAATAAGTACATGTTTCTTGGACGTACTGGCTTCCTTATTGTCCTACAGAACGCTTGAAGGACAGTTGAGGTAGCTGCTAGCTACATCTTGTTACTAGTAGCGTCCTTGTTATTACTAGTAAGGCACTTGTTACTACTAGCGATGCACTTGTTACTGCTAGCCAGGCACCTGTTACTACTAGCTGCTAGCGCTGCTAGCTACGTCGATGTCTGAGGTACAACATCAAAGTCTCCATGGATGGCGGCACCACCTATGCAGCTGCAGGTGTCGAGAGAAGACGAAAACGCGTCGTGACGGAGCGAGTCGTTGCCATATGAAGTGATTAAGCAGGCTCCCTCAAGGAAGCCTGCTTGGCTGCTTGCTATAGTGACAGTGCAAACGAAGCACTTGGTAATGAAGTCAAAGACATCACACTTTTTGGAGAGAGCGTTCTTGTGGCAAGGGCCAACGTCCATGACAGAAGGTCTTTCTAAACTGTTCTTGTCAGACATTGAGAACACATAGCTGCAAGAAAGAAAACACCGCTCTAAAGTAAGAAGAATGCAGAATGAAAAAGGAAAGGAATCTGAAAAGCTTCCTCAAGATGCGTACTTCAGGAAGCACTGCTGATTCCTCAGTCTACAGCTTCACCTACAACTGCGGCATCTCACAGATGTGACCAGTGGCCAGTTTGTGCCTTGCTCTGCTAGAAAGCTCATGAAAGACCGCAACATAACTTGTTCATTGTGCTCGAATAGATCAGAATGACATGAGTTTTTGTATGTTAACAGGACCAAAGACTCTAGCCCATGAATCCAATGAACACCAGAATCACCTGCGAAGAGGAACCTTTCTCAGATCTAAGGTGGACTGCTTGACATGCTATTGTTGCAAAACCTTTGGTAAGTCTTGACGTGGCAGGTTCTTCTTCAAGGTGGCTGCTGTAAACGGTGTTGGAGGCTCTGGCGGCGAAGGAGTTCGGCCACCTAGCTCACGAAAAAGCTCACAAGGAAGCAATTGTTGCTTTCCAAAGATGGAGCCACATGCTGTGGGCCGCATTTGGTTTGCATGTGAGTGCTGTGAGTGTGACCAACCAACCAATTAGGACTTATGAGTCATGTGAATGGATGTCACAATCCTACCGTTCACCCAGAACCTGCTGACCCCTCTGCTGAGGCCGAGTCTGACCCCACAGGCATTTACTGTGCTCCACCGCCTCAGACACCAGCGGAGCCTTGTCATAAAGCATGAAAAGGTGCACAATAAATTACTAGTAGCAAGAAGCTAGTAGATGGGTGGCCATCGCTCTTCGGTTAGAGGCCATTGCTTGTAGGGTGGAGGCCATCGTTACGAACGTAGCAAGATTATGAACACCTGAAACAAACACATATCATTTCTATGACCTTGCTGCTTTGCCCCAAAATGTTGGACGAGATTTGAGGCACCTGGGCTTAGTGCCACTGTCTCGACCTTGACCGTGGCCCTTTTCCAGCCCAATGCTGTTCAGCTGAGCAGCTCTACACACACAGGATGGCGTATCTTGGCCGGGCCACCAAGCAGCTTGCGGAGCTTGTGGAGCTTGCGGAGCTTGAAAGAAGTCAATACTTTAAGACTTTAGACGACGTCCCCCGTTCCCGGACCGTTTTTGTAAAAATGTCGAGTCGTCACGTTCGTGGCAGAAGACGTGAGGGATGTCCATCCGAGAAAACAACGAGTGACATCGGGTTGGTCGGTCAGAGGACTGGACAGAGCAAAGCCTAGGGGCTCCTGGCCTCGCTACTAGGAGCAAGGACGCTACTATCTAAAGTCCTAAGAAGTCTGTTTTCTTTAGACCTCCAAAGAATCATTCATGCGAAGGCTTCAAGGAGAACGGGGGAGCTTCCTCCACAGCCCACCCCGAACCCCCCACTCAAACTCGTGCATCAAAAGAAAGAAAGCCGTTGTTTAGTACCGTTGTTGTTTTTCTTCAGATATTATTTTCCTGTAGGTCCTTTTTCATGTTCTAAGATGTTTTTTTTCTTTGGACCTTTCTATGTTTGCCTTTTCTTTAGACCACTGAAAGAACTCAAACTTACCCCAAAAAGCGAGTTCATAAAGACACCAGTGAGTCAATTTCTCGCTGCAGATTTCAGACTTGTTGAAAGAAATCGACTCCCTCGGCAGATTGACGACGCCAATGATGCGGATGACACCTATGATGAGATCCAGGTCTTTGATACGTCTTAGCCTTAAACAGGTGTCCACATCCCGATGGATGGAAGGAATAGGGATACATAATTAAGTGAAGAAATAGGATGAAATAGGAATACATGACATATGTAGGTAGAAATACTAAGAAATAAGAATACATAGAAATGAAGTCCCTTTCCAGCGTTCAGTGTTATTCAATCTTTGAGCAACCGATTCGTGACCAAGGACCGTGTTGCAGTACACCATCACCTCGGGCATTGTCACAGGCAATTACTACCGGGTAAAGCTCAAGCTTTGCTCGATTGCCAGCACCTCAGCCCTTTGCTCCTAGTAGCGCCCTTGCCAACTGGAACCCGGATCACTCAGCGACTACAAAGCTTAAATGCCAAAAACAGATCAAAGCACAGCATGCTTCCAGCATCTTCCAGCTTCGGAAGCGTGCACTTTCACAGACAAAATTTGGTCACTTGCTGACGACTTGGCTTTGGTTTGTTTAAGGTTTGGTTTTTGAAGCTGGAGGGGCTTGGGGACGCATCACCCTCCCCCCACCAGAAGAAGACCGTACAAGCACTTTGCTCATCTCGTTTTTCTTGCTCAAGGAGCCTTTGGTAGTTTAGCTTAGTTTGTCTAGCTTCCCTTTTCTTGAGTTGTTGATGTTGTTTGCTTCCTTAGGTGTTGTTTTTTGCCAACCAAAAACACATTCTTCACTCCTTCCGTGAGGCCGGCTGCAGCACCGAGAGCGACATCGGCGGTCCCATCATCGCCGCGTCACCTCCAGCGGCTCCGGTGCTTTTGCAAAAATAGAAGATGTGGTGGGATCAGTAGAATACCAAGCTTTTGTGGGAAGATCTTTGTTTTATGTGCTTTTTCATGCTTTTTCCTTTTCATTTTGAGAGTAAGAGACACCATCTTCGTTTTTCATTGGTATTCAAGATCCAAGATGGTGTAGCGTGGGGCTTACCACCGCTAAATGATACGTTCAGATGAAGTGGTTTTGACTTCAACCAAAACATGAGAAGGATTTGTGCCCAGGTGCTTTGCTAAGATCGATTTCAACAACACAACAGAGGTATTTCGAAGATGGATGACTTGTTCCGATATCTCCAAACATCTCCAAACGCTTGTTAAACCGTTAGCAAGAATGCTGAGGCTCCGGTCTATGCATCAGCGTGAGGGGCCTCAAGCGGCTGCAGCATGATTTGTTTTTGTCCATGGAGAGATGGGGACAGTCAAACAATATCGAAACGCTGAGGTGAATTACATTCAATTAAAGCATTCAATTGAGATTCTTGTTGATTTTATTTTTAAGTCAAAACAAGTTCAGGTGGCTCGTATATTCAAAGTTGTTCAAGGCTTCTACTGTTGTTGTCATAGGCAGTTTGCTGAGCAAGTTGTTTGAAACATTGGCTTTTTCAGAAGCACTGCGTGTGATTGTTTTGACACTTAGCAATGTGGATGTGATTGAATCGAAGGTCAACAGATACCACGATGACGGTGGCCTGGCAGTCACGGACTTATGCTTGGGGTAAATGAATGGATGTGGATCAAAGCGAGATACTGACAACACTGTTTAGGTACTTCTCTCATCCCAAATGTCAACTTTGTTGCTCATTGGTGTGTCCAGGTACATTGACCAGCATTTTTACCTGTAGCCATAGTTACATGTTATGTACAACACGTCTACAGGCTTTATTTGCTGACCCCATCGTGCATACAAAGAGACTTGCCGGATCAAGCAGTAGAGTGGGGCAGCAATGGCACGAAGAGGCACGAGAAATGACTCCTACCCTTTTCTTGGTGTAGCTTCTTGCTACTAGTAGTAATGGCCTCCAACCTAAAAGCGATGGCCTCCAACCTACTAGCTTCTTGTTACTAGTAATTAATGCCAGGAGCTATGGCTGCTGAGCTGGTTTGAGCTAGCAGATTTGTAGGCCGCTTCACTGGTGTCCATGTGGCCTTTTTGGGCCTGGTGACAGCCTCAGAGAAGGTCTCCACAATCTGTCCTTCTTCGGGCCCTTTGACCTTCCCTTAGGCCATCGCTAGTAGGTTGGACTCCATTCCCGGGATTGTGTTCGTTCTGACTTTCAAAGGCTGACGCGATGCCAAGGTGGCGGGCCTTCATTTAACACAGCAAGCCTTTACCCAACCAGATGCTGGCAGGTGCGATCGTGCCTGACTTGGTGGCGAAACATGAGACTCCCAAAAGTGAGTGATACCCAAGTCTTTCACGATCTTGGCCTAGGTTTGGAATACACGGTTTTGCATGCGCAAGAGATGGGACAAAGTGGTTATAGTGGTTATCCCATCACGCAAATGTAGTGCCTCTCAGAAGAAAATTAACTCCTTAGACTCCTTAGGCCCAAGGCACTTGTGACGAGAACGGTTGACAACCGTGCGTTTGTGCGAGGACGCTGCAGCGGCGAGAGATGTTGGCGGCTGCAGGTCTGGCGGCTGCAGGCCTGAAGAAGCCGGACATGCGGTACATCAAGCACGGGCACAAAGGATCAATAGTAACAAGTGCCATGCTAGTAGTAACAGGTGCCTTACTAGTAGTAACAAGTGCTCACAAAGGTCTATGGATTGCCTGAGACAAACATCAAGGATGCAACAAACATGCAGATAACTAAACAGTCGGGACCGCGAAAGCATAGAACCACCACAGGTAAAGTAATTATTCAACACCTTCTCCAAGATGGTATCCATGGGACCCATTTTTTGCTGGCCTTCCCAGTAGGAGCGATCGGACGCGAACCGAACGGAGCAAAGGGCATCGCTACGAACGGAGCGATCGGACGCGATTGGGGCCCATTCCTATTGGAAAATAAAACCTCTCCCATTCCTAATAGCTTCTTGTTTCTACTAGCTTCTTGTTACTACTAGTAAGGCACTTGTTACTAGTAGCGATGCACTTGTTCCTAATAGCTTCTTGTTACTACTAGTAAGGCACTTGTTACTAGTAGCGATGCACTTGTTCCTAATAGCTTCTTGTTACTACTAGTAAGGCACTTGTTCCTAGTAGCTTCTTGTTACAGATGCCTGTTCGCCTTGAGGTGCCGCTGCCCAAAGCGCCTCGGCGGAGATCTTCGGGGCGTGGGGCCCAAGAGCCCTCCGATCGCGCTCGCTCCATTCGTCGCGATGCCGGGAGCCCCGATCGTAGCATCCTTGCTCCGTTCGTAGCGATGCCCTTTGTTCCTAGTAGCGAACCTTGTTCCTAGTGTTTGCGGTGGAGCGGTGGATGAAGTCCAGTTGACGCTGTTCGGTGTTCGTGTGACAAAGCTGGAAAGCGAGCAGAAGGAAGCACAAGAGAATAAGGAAGGAAAAGGACATTGGTCTACAAGAGAAAAGAAGAATTAAGAAGAGAAGAAAAGGGAACTTGAACACAGGCAAAAAGAGTTTACAGTTTAGGTATATATATATATCAGTTGGTCAATTTGCGAGGCCGGATTCTCCTAAGGCCGGGCCTCCGCCCACTCGAAAACCCTACAAGGAGGACTTGAATGATTTCAAGGCCATGCAGGCGGGGGCGATGGCGACGAACATCGGTGCAGATGCTGATACAGACAGTTCGACCCAAGCAATGAAGCAGTTCTGAAAATTGATCTTAATGTCCACCTTTGAATAATAAACCCCCCCTCCCCTTGATCAAGCGCAGGCCCTAAATAATGCAAAATCCAGAAAAATACAAGAAACATCTTGATTTGACATGGACATAAAAGGAAAATGAAAGGAAATGAAAGGACAGAAAAGGACATGAAAGGAAAGGACAATTGACAGAAACATGAAAGGACAGAAAGGAAATGAAAGGGAAGGAAAGGCAATGAAAGGACATGACAAGAATTGTAAAGGACGCCACCAACAGAACCAGCCAAGGTTTGTTTAGTATTGTTTGAGATCTGGAGTAATTGAAGGTTCGTGCTGCTGGTGAGGCCAGAAAGGTTTGAAACAAAAAGGTTGACAGTGACAAACAGGTTGACAGGAATCAGCTGAATGCTCACAATCAGTTTGGATGAATTAAGGTTTGGAAGCAGCTGAAAGTCAGGATCCAGAGAAAGACCTCAGTATAATTTGGGGGCCATTTATATATAGTTTGTTTGTTGAAAAACATCACATGATTCACGGGCCATTTATAAATCAGTCAACATTAGTTTGAACGCACTGTGGGGCCTGCCGCCAACGACCGACCGGTCAACCGGTCGGTCTCCGTCGGTAGGTCAGCCGGTCGGTCGCCTTCGAAAAGCTCGTACTCAGCGTGAGGTCCTGATTGGCCTTCGCCTCAGCTTGTTCCGGACTTGTTAACAGAAAGGGCCCACAAACGGCATTGATGCTCTCGAAGACTTTGATGGTTGCTTCGCAGCTTCGCATTGCTTCCTGCGAAAGGACAAGATATCGGCCCTGTTTCGAATCAGGAAGCCACAGCCTGAGAGCCTACATCCTAAGCGTGAAAGTTGGGGCGACAACAAGAATTCCTCAAATAACGCGGCGATTTTGTCACAATGACAGGGTGCTTGCTACGAGATTGCCAATGCTGCGGCCGGCCATGTTCTCAACAAGGAAGACATACAGTGAGAAAGAGAGAGAGAGAGACAGCGAGGGAGGACTAAAGAAAGATCAAAGATGATAGAACAGAAAGGAAAACCACAGATAGTAATAAAGTACCTAAAGTTGATAGAATGATATATATATATATATATACCATATACATAGTACATTACTTCAAAGTACGTTCTGTTCTTTAAGTACATAAATGATAATCCCTAATTCAACGGAGGCTCACAATGATGGGGAATGCTTCTTGAGGCAAAACCATGGCGAGCACTCCTGGAGTGATTGTGTGGTGAACTCAGGGGTTACTACTAGCTTCTTGTTACTACTAGTAAGGCACCTGTTACTACTAGCGTGGCACTTGTTACTACTAGCTTCTTGTTACTACTAACCACAGACTGCCAGCGGTTGGAGGCCGCTAATAGGGTGGAATGGCTCTTGCTTCGGGATGTGACAAGCGTGGATGAAGGTATGATCCAGATGCATGCGGAGCTGGGAAGTCGGCTTCTGAAGGGAACCATTAAGACTTGTTCTCTTTTTCCTCTTCGAGCTTGCGACTTTTCATGAAGAGTGTGTGTGTGTTATTATATATATATATGTTTTAAATAGATACTTGAAGCGCTTGAAGACTCGATTGGATCACCATGAATATAAGTGGTCTTCTGACAACAGCTACCCCTTCCGATTGGATTCAGACAGCTTTACTGAAGTGACAAGACGACGCATTCTCTCAAGACGACGCCACTGTCTCCGAGGGCCTTCATCCATTCCTCTGGGAAGGGGAAGTTCGAGCCAATGACGGTCAGGGTCCAAAGGGTTCACTTGTTCAGAATTTGTCACTAAGAGGGCCTCGAATCTACTAGCAAGGACACTCAATAGCAATGGCCTCCACCCTAGTAGCGATGGCCTCTACCCTAATTTGTGTTGGTATGATAGACACTTAAACTTCAGAAGTGAAGTTCATTTTGTTGGACTGTTCCCAAGCATGATGATTTGGAAGTGAATGATATCCTGCTGGAAGAAAACGCTCCCAGCAGGATCGTGTCGTTTGACGATTCTTTGTGTGTGTGTGTTGAGGTAGCTGCAGGTCCTGGAAAGCCCGGGCCTAAGTGGTACAAGCGACATGAATAGAGCCTGACAAAAGGAGCTTTTCTGGGGATTTGCGATATGACTGTCACTGGCAAACATCGACATACTATTGGCCGTGACATGTTATCTGAGCTTCAAACAGCTTCATTGTTTCATAGAATGGAGGCACAAGTACTATGCTGCGAACTTCGAGGGCAAGGTGTGGTACTAGACTTTTTGCAGATGAACTTAAGCTAAGCTCTTTAGCAGCAGTGTTCCCTGTTCTGGAACCAGCCGACTTGCAATTTCAACTTTTGGACAATTCCAGATCCAAGAGCTTGCAGCAACAAGGAACAGCCTTCTTGCGCATGCTTGCGTTTTTGGTTTAAACATGTTTCATGTTTAAACTGCAGATGCTGTTTGGCATTCCAGATTTACAAGTGGAAAGACCTGAACCGAGGTAGTGGCTGGATACAAGGACCTTGTTGGCACATGTGCAGACATCCCCCAGAGTCAGCACCTCAATGCTGGATTCGGATCTTGCGTTGGTGTAAGAAGCAGAATTGATCATCAAGATCGCCTCCAACCTACTAGCAAGGACACCTAATAGCAATGGCCTCCAACCTACTAGCGGTGGCCTCCACCCTAGTAACGATGGCCTCCACCCTAATAGCGTTGGTGTGATAAGCAGAATTTGTCACCAAGATGGCGCTGAAACCATCAACTGGGAGGCTGGGCCCCCTATAGGGGCTTTATTGAGACTAAGAAGATGAGTAGAAGACATTGTCGCACACAGGTCTTTTAGAAGCATGAGGGGAATCGCCTTTTCTTCTTTGAGAAGCATGAGGTTTGATGGATCTTTTTTAGACAAAAGGCCTTCTCGTCCTTGTTCCTTGCGCATAAGGATGGTCTGGAATTGGGTCCTGTCCACATGCTAAGACCGTTCGCGTTCGCAGCGAACACCGAGCCCACACCCAGATCGCGAACACCGAGCGTGGTGGCAAGTGCTGAGCAGTCCGTACAAGCAGCCTCGACAGGATCAGAACGGCACGCTTGAGATGATGTGAAATCTGGGTGATGTTGTTTGATTATTTGAGATCCCGTTCCGATCGAAATGGTTCCGTTCTGATCGATTCTGTTTCTAGTTGACAATTTTCTCGCTTTCAAGGCGCATTCAGGCCGTGCCTTTGAGGCACTGTCTCCCAGCCACCAAGCTGACCAAGCTGACACCAGCACGCTAAGAAAGCGCGACGGTTCGAACATGGAGAAAAGCGGGTTGCGGCACACGGAGAAACGCGTTCTCGTTTGGGGACAAGGACAGCTTTCGTTGGTCTTTTGGGAGTCCAAAACGTGTTGGTCTTCTTTTGAACACCCCCCCAAAAGAAGCTTATAAGATGGCACTCGTTACTACTAGCTTCTTGTTACTACTAGCGTGGCACTTG